TAAATCAATAGTAAGAAGACAACCCAGTTATTTCTACCTGATCTGATGATTAAAATATTTTCCTTACTGTAACCTAATGTAGTTAGTATTTAATATATATCATTTCATTGCTTTCTGTCATAGTTATTGCACTATTTCATTAAATAAATAAATACAGGGCAAAGGAAAGGTGACACTGAGGTTTTGTTATTTTTGTCTTTATCTCATTCAATCAGGTAATTAATTAAAATCGTCTTTAATTGTTAAGCCTGGCAGCGCACTAATGGTAACGCAACTACAAACACCTTAAAAAACAACAATGAAATAAACATCATTGTCTCCTCCAACCTTACATCACTTGCTCTATTTTCTCACATGAAAGGATAAAAGTAAGAGCCCATACCCTGTGAATATGCAGCTCTTCAACCGCCTCCAGGAGACTTGTTTTAAATTCCAGTACTTGCAGTGAGATGGTACGCCCGTTATTCTCTACAACAATGTTTGGGGTCTTTGGTCGGCTGAGGGCACCTTTATCTTCCATCTACAGACAAAAACAGCAAGAGTGTGTAAATCTTGTAGTTTCATTTGTATATCATTTAAAACACATCGCTCTACTTTGGAATATTTCCACTTGCCAAGGAGAAAAGCTCTGTTCTAGAGTCCACACTCGACTCCATGGCACTTGGGAAGAAAAAAAAAACATTAAATCAAACAATCTAAACAGAACCTACAGATCAAATTTGGTATTCAGTTTTGGTACATAAAACAGCAGCAATAAGATTAAATACATCAATGTTTAATAAATAATTTAACTAATAGGAATTATTATAATAAAACCGAAAAAACAACAACAACAACTTATATCAAACAATCTAAACAGAACCTACAGATCAAATCTGGTGGTTCCCTTTCATGGGAACTTCGAACTGCGTCCTCTAGGGGTCGCTATGGGGGAACGCCTCGTCGTGACCCGTGTCTGAAGCATACACTGAAAAAACACCAACTCGTTGGCCAGCGACAGCCATGACGTCACTACCGGTGCGACTATAGTATAAATAGGCGCCGGGAGCTACACATCATTCTCTTCTTCGTCTTCATTGACTGTTCTGTTTGAAGCGTGCATTCCAAGGAAAAAGTAAGAGCTATCTCTTTCATTATGGCGAGCACTAGCAGAGCATTTAGAAGGTGTGTGCGTCCGTGTCATCGCTATTTGACACCAGATGACACAAACGATCTATGGGCGAAGAGCACGCACGCGATGTCCTCGAGGGGGCAATCTGGCGTTCCCCCATAGCGACCCCTAGAGGACGCAGTGTCTCGTTCCCTACTCAGGGAACCATGGTTACATAAGTAACCTGAGACGTTTTGCTTTAGAAAACTGCAGCAATATGATTTTAGCCCAATTGTAGGCTGTCTGTGGTTGCGAATCAACATCCACATTAACATAAAATTCAACCAAAGTGTGGTTATGCTTCAACCAATTCATATCATTTAGATAGATAATATTATAGATTTTAGTAATATTTTTTATTTCTATTTTTCCTTTTAATTTTAGTTAAAGTTCTAATCATTTTGCTGTGTGATTTGTCATTTTTATTCATGTTTTAAATCTGTTTTTATTCATTTTTATTTCAGTTTTAGCTTTAGTTATTACTATGGAAGCCCATTTCCGCCACAGGATAAAAAATAAAAAAAGGTAATTGTGACTTTGTTTCTCACAAATATTGTTTCTTTTTTTTGCAATTCACAGTTAACATCTCACAATTCTGTTTACCAACAGAATTGCAAGAAAAAAAAGTCTTAATTGTGAGACATAAACTGAGACTTGCCAGAGAAAACATCTGAATTGTGAGATAAAAATGACCGCAATTACCTTTTATGTTTTTTATCTTGTGGCGTCTTCCATATATTTCAGTACATCAATTTAAACTAAATGAAAATAATAATAAAAATAAAAATGTTGCCTTGAAAAAATATCTGGAAAAATATGTTTTCATTTCAGTCAACAGTTACTTTTAAAATAAATAATACAAAAGTAATAATGAAAAATGTTTTTTTTTTTTTTTTAAATGGATTCGCTTTCAGTTTTACTTAACTATAATAACCCCGGTTGATCACAAGTGCACATATCAGCTCTAAACGCAGCTCATCCTGTCAGAATTTAGAGCTAGAACTATTGGTTTTATCGTACTGCATATGTCAAAAACAATGCTACTACATAAATTTTGCCTCCTAAGAATATATAAACCACAGCTATAGACAAAGTTCAAGCCGTTGCATCAGAAAAAGCATTTTAAATCCCATCTCGAACCTACCAAGGTGAAAATGGCAGCATGGTGAGAGTGTAGGCTAATAGGGGTCAGGGCCATAACACCGGATGGACAGATGGCGCTGTCATTCAGAAGGAATTATATAAGATATTTAATTTGACCTGTGCATGGCCCGCTGTATCCCCATCATCATGACTGACTTGGAAAGTGGGAGGTCTTCATTCTGCCTGGTGTTTTAATAGAAGAAAGGCTTTCGTCCATTTAGCCGCTGCTGATATATCAATCATGTGCAGGAATTAAATGATCCCGTTAGAATTTGCTACTATCACAAATGACCTGGAGGGCCAATGTCTTTATTCGCTTCCTCCGCTGATTCACCTCAGCAGATATTAAACAACTTTATAAGCCATGAAAGGCTAAATTAAAAGGACACCATCCATAAAATGGGATAATTCCCCGTCTGTGGTATGATGTCCATATTACTGTCATAGCTGCTGATCTGTAAATGTGAATGGCAGTGGACGGGACTTCAGGTGAAAACCTGCTGGAAGTTCAGATTTAACCTTTGACCTCAGCTGATCAAACATTAGTTTTGCTTACAGGGAGAAATTGGGATTTAATGTCTGAGAAGACTTTTAACCCTAAATAAACATTACTACCATAAACACTATTCTGAGATATTAAGTAATATTCTGTATCCTAAACTGAAGTAAATGAAAGCAGCTTATCGTAATTTTTAAAGTCATTGTATTAGTAGTAATATTTTTAAATTAAACTAGTATTTTTGAATAAGCTATTATAGTTACCATGGTAAATTATTGTATATAATAGGCTGAACAGACTATAAACATTTTTAACACTCTAATAAGTTTGGAAGATAAAAAAATATAACATTTTCGAAATCCAAAATATCATATTTATGTAACGGTTATTTAACAAATATTTTAGTAAGGAAAGAAAATCTAGCTAGCTAGCCAAACTATCACATTTCTTTATTAGTTTTTTTTCCTCATAAGTGACTAAACAGCTAAGACGAGTGTTGCAAATAGTTAAAAGAAAATTAACGATTGTTTAATAAGCATACATTTATTAAATTATTACTTTAAACAGGCCTTGTCGACTTCTGCAGCCGCACTGACTGGGTTTTGATGCGGTTGAAATCCAGTCAAGGTTACGCTATATCTTAAGAAATACATTCTGGGATTTCTGTGCACTTTTCTCTCAAATATCATCACTGAAGATGTTTAAAAGCAAATAGTGATTTATTATTCTTCCGAGCTAGTATTTTAAATCATGGCACTGTAAACCGACTCGTCCTACCTGTGTCATCCATTCAGGCGCTAAGAAACGTTGCCTTTGCTGCCACCTAGTGTCCTGTGTGCACCAAACTGTTCCGTTGACTTGTGTACCATTTATACTTGTGTATATGTAACAACATATTTTTACACATTTATGGCTTGGCATAGCAAAAAAAAAAAAAAAAAAGCTAAATATTTAGGAAACATTACAGGGTCGAAGGAAACTAAAATCAACTTTTATGTAACTAATTAGGCTGTTTAAGAAATTAGACACTCTAGTTTTCTTTAATTTTATAAATATAACTATATATGTACATTTAATCACAACTGTGATTTTATTGCCTTTAATAATTAAATAATCTGGAATTTAATTATTAACCATTTTATACAACCCTCCCTGTCCGAAACACATGCGCTAGGGGGCGGCTAAAATGACGTTCTATTGGGAAATGTAGTTCTGTGCTTCAAAACACCGCTTTAGCGTCATTGAAAATCACATCTCAAAAAAACTACAAAGGAGCGTTGTGAACCATACTTCCGTAAATACACGCATCAGGTTGTATGGATTCATCCAGAACAAAACGTTAAGGCTGCAATTTTGATTATATGTGGCGAATTGCAGCTGCATTAAAATAAAGTTTAGACGGGCGGTCGGTGCTTTAACTAATAAAGGTAAGCTGTAAAAGAGTCTAATGTAGTTTTTAATATTTTAGCTGAATGAATGACCGGATGTTAAGAGTGCAGACAGATGCGACGGAGCATCAGGCTCTCAGAGATTTTAGTAATGAGATCAGGCTGGTTTTATGTCACAGCACACTAAAGCAGATCAATGTAGA